GACTGCATCCCTCACGCTAACCCAAGGGCCACGTCCGAAATATTTAAAGCAAACAAACGCGCATGTTGTCAGTGCAGCAACTGAAGCACTTTATTAACATTTTTTGATGTACCGGTAATGCAATCGTAAAAAATCCGGGGGTTCAGTCAGTTATCAGAGACAGACTGTCGAAGAGTTGAAGGAATTTTAAAATTTTCCCGCAAGGGAAGTGCTTTAGTGATTTTATGTAGTGGGGTAATTAAGATATTAGAGTACTGCTTCGTTTTCAGAATATTTTTGTAAACTTGAAGAAAGTAATAAAATTTATTTTTTAGAAATGCAATAGTTTAGGCCGTTATAATTGCGCTTCTGGCATAGGCAGAATCTACTATCCCACGTTTAATTCTCGGTTGTCTTGTCGTTTTAGCTATTTCAGACTTGTGAATGATGATAGGGATTGCCTCGATAATTTTTTGATTGGTTTCTTTGACCCTTTAACTCCCACGAGTGACCAAGACAGAATTTCTCCTTACAATATCAATTAAATATCAGGTCAGTGATGAGAATAAAGACAAAATCAATTTGGGGATAATTAGTTGATCCAGTACTAAATTGTCTGAACAAACAAGAATTTTATGGTTGACAGTAAGGAGAATTTCAAATTTGACCTGGGAGTTAAATTGTTAATGCATTGAGTGGAGAAATTTTGCTGAAGTTTCATGTGGTGAGCTCGAGTGATTTGCTGCGTGTTTGATATGGGTAACCTATTAAACCAGGCCGTTAGCAACGCCCCAGAATGCATCTGCTCCAACCCTTAACCCTTAAAACCCTAAGAGCGACCAGCATCTCATCTCTACAGTAATACTTCTGAGTCTTTCAGATCTAAGATCATGAGGATAAAGGAAATGACCGTCAACCTAAGAAGTTTTGATTGATAAATGAATTCTCTTCGTGAGTACCAAAAAGAAACATCTAGAAGAGTATGGAGAATATGGATACCAAACAAACAAACAGGGTTAAGTGTGATTAGTATCTAATTATTCGTGACAGTTTCCCTATTGTACTGAACATTAAGATCATGGAAATAGCGGAAATGATTGTTAACAGAAGAGGCTCCTACAAATTCAAATTCTCCTCGTTGGTATCATAGAAAATTTATGAAGAACAGTAGGGAGAAGATAGATTCTGGTGTTAGGGTGTAGAGAGGTAACGGGAAGAAAGTTTACAGCGTAACGATTCTCAGGTCACCGCAACCGAATTGCTTTATTCAACGTATTTATCAGTTAATTATATTTTCCTACCTGTTCTGTGACCCACAATAAGTAATTAATTTACACTGAAGGGTGTCTATTCTTCAAGTTTAAAGTTGTTGCTTTCACTCAGATGGATTCCGTTTTCTCTTTGCTAATTATATCACTAAACTTACTCAAAATACAACAGTCTTTTCACATATTGTAGCGAGGTAGATCTCCTGCCGCACAATTTCATAGTATACGGCACTCCCTGCAAGGAAAGCACGTCACAGAGGTTCCTTCTTCCTCCTCCTCCTCTGAGCTCATCTCAGTTGCGTTTCTCATGTAAGATTTTTCTCGACGTATCAGTGGTGCGCGATCGTCATCGACAGCTTCTTTTTCTAGTTAAAACAAAGGAAAATGAAAAAAGTGGTCGAGAGAGGGTAGCTGCTCATTAAACTATGTGTGGTGATTTGAAGGGTGTGTGATTTGCAGGGAGAAGGAATTGATTATCACTCATTAGCAAAGTACAAATATACTTTGATCATATCAGTCGTATTACCTTCCGGCATGACTTCGTCTGACATCCAGTAGTTCTTTACGGCTATAGCACCTGATGGGCTTCCTACGATCTCACTCCATTGATGATCGGAGATAACTCGCTTGCTAGGCACCATGAAACAACTAGTAATATTTCCATTCTGTGAAGAAACTGTGGTCTGGTGGGTGTTAAGTACAGAACTTTCCGCGCCTTCTGGTGACGGTCTCGTGACAGGAGGCTTTGCGCAATTTTCCTCTCCATTTGCCTCTCCTGAATGGTCTTCGTCTGGCGAGGAGAGCAGTTTCGGTGCAGTTGTCGCTTCCTTGGTGTCGCTATTGAGGGCATCGTTTGAGTTCTGGAGTTTGACGTGAATCTCCGCCTGAAAAGCTTCGGAGGGTTTGGTTTTGTTGGTTTCTTCTAACGACACAGAGTCTGAAAAAAATTTACTTCATATCTCAGCGGAAGAATATAAGCTCCAAGCAATCAGTCGTGTCACAAAGCTTGGTTTTCAGTGTGCAAGACTGGCCGATCATCAGTTATTCCCTAATATGGCGTAAATAACCAGCGTGCTTCAGAATATCAGAGAGAAATTAGACACTTCAAGGTTTTATGCGTCGGTTCAGAGTCAAACTCCTAACTTTGAAAAGTAGTTAGTCAATGTCAAACATTTTAGGCCATGTTATGAAAGAAGTAGGAAAACGGTAAACAAAAATAGAGAGGCAGACAAAGGCACCAGAAATGCAGATACGAGATGGAAAAGAGGATAGACTGACCAGGACAAGAAAAAAAAAAACAGGCTGCGTAGAAAGACAAGCATGAAAGTTTCAGTTCTCTTTTGAGCTAGAATACTTATTCAGCTGTATTTTGTCAGGAATTCCTTCTTTATAACTAGCAAATGCTATTCAAAAATCTGAACCTATCTCAAGTTTAGTGAATGATAAGTATAAATTGCTAGCAAACCGTCTGAGGGATATGCTCCAATTCCGAAGTTCCCCCCATGAAGGATTGTGGGTGACCCTGACTCTGTCTCCCCCGGATCCACGACCATTCTTGTGCGCCAGACATTGGGAGAATCGGCATCAAAGCTTTCACTCTCGCAAGTATCATTACTATCAAGTTCAGCGGATGTCTTTCCACTATCGTGCAAGCCAGTTCCAGTCTCGCTCGACCCACTAACCCCGTATGTAAAGGAATGGAAACAATATACGGGACTTCTTTTTGGACTGCTGGTCTGACTGGCGTCTTCACTACCAGCGCTAAGACGTAAAGTGGTCAAGATGCCTGACGGTGTCTCGAATTGGCCTGCTAATTAAGAACAAAATGTCATATTACAAGCAAGGTCAATGATAAACACGAATCAGGAGCCTAGATTTGTGTGATTTCGAAGTTTCAACCGAACAATTGACGGAATTGTTCGAATATTTTTGAGACTTCCTATCTAATTTTTCAAATTTCTGTCTTTACTCATGATTATCAAATCTAAGAGTGTGAGTGAAGTATTAAATGAACGTCTATGTTGTAACTAAGAGTAGAAGGTTTAGAGTTCTGACGTTTTGTTTTTCTATAAACAAGTGAAGAATTAATTTAGAGCGTGTAGCAACAGGCTACCAAGCCTCAAATATCTTAATCTATACTGCTCTTTCAAAACATCAAAGGTTTTCTTGCACGAGATCCATAGGAAGTATACTCTTTCAGACATCGACTGGCGCTAGCATAGGACCTGGTCTTGTTCAATTTAAAATTAAAGGCGCGTCTCGTTCACAGCTGTTTGCAATCTAAAACTGAACTCAAAATCTCGAATACCCTGCCAACCATGCTAATCCGAGGAAAATTTTAAAATCAATCTACAGAAACCTTTCTTTCTCCCCAATGCCTTCGTTTCTCCTTTAAATACATCATTTTCGTTTTCATCTTGATTTGGAGTCACTTGCTCTACTTGTCCACTTTCTTCGTTCGTCAGTTCCGCTGGTGATAAACACTCCAAGGAAGGAGAAGCCAAAGGTGAAACATGAATATTTGCCATTGCGACAGTTAGTTTTGCCTTAAAAGAATAAACTCTGCAACAACAGCTCGTCTTTCAGGTTTTACTTCTACAAAGAAATTCTGTTTTTCCTTCCTACCTCTGACTCGTTGTCAAATGGAAATATCCTTGGCAAGTCAGCGAGGCGGTAAATTGCAACATGAAAAGAAAAATGTCATGTGCCACAGGCACGTTCATAACACATTAGCAAGTTTGATCTGTTTTTCATGCACGTGAAAGGCCGCTATTTTTGAACAAAACAAAAAAATCACCGCATTTGAGCGTGAAAATTTTTTTTTGGATTTGTTATTTATATTTTCGAACGATCGACAAAGTTGACTCTTTCATTCCTTCAGCTGTAAATGGTAGCGAATAAATGTAACGTGAATCATTATCAGCGTCAACATATCTGATTTAAGGTTTTTTTTGAGAAAATCTCAATACCTCATGATTTAGATTTTGTTTGAAATGGACTAGTACCTGAGATCACGTTACACTAACAATACTTCCTCGTAATGCCTGTACTGGTGTAACGTGAATGCTACTGAATAATGAACTGCGCGGATGTTTATTATAATTTTAATCGCGGCATTCATCGAGTATTTTCTCAGAGTTTTAATAGAATCTTCTTCTGGGTTTTTGAAAATGATACATTTTGCATTAGTTAGCTTTCAAATTGCGAATTTTAGTACTTTTACATAATATCTTTCACCGTTTTTTTCTTTGATAAAATTTTTCGCGAGCACAAGACTGGCGTAAGAATTCACTCTTAGACTATTTTGTCAGTCTGTAATGAGTACAAAATCTATTTGACTGTGATTTATATCAAACAAAATCAGTTAAAAAAACAAATGAACTAGGTCAGTGACCATTCCACAAACAATGGGGGATCAGTAATATTTCTATATAACCTCATAATATTCATCATACAAACAGTTACTTTGTTAAAGAAGACAATGGCTAGTTTACCTTTTAAAATAACACTTTATTTTAAAATAGTGTGGGGTTTCAGCGAAATCCCCCGAGATCTCTGAGGAAGAAAGAAGAGCTTGTATTGTTCACAATCAGACTATTGTGAAGCGATTTTTCCATGAAATAGAGAGAGGATGACATTTGCTGTTTGTTACATAACGTTCCTTAGAGCACAACACAATATGGCGCTTTGGCGGGAAATTCTTGTCTCTCGAGGATTTTTCACACTGCGCCTGGTTGTTATGCTAACATTCATTTTGGAGTGTATCGAAACAAAGATATGAACATTTTTAAGAGCTTCATTTGTTGTATTTTTCGCTGACAAGGTTATGGGAAAACCAAAATTGAATAAGGGGGCTGGAAAGCGAGCAAGAAGCAGCTCGGAAGACGAGGTGAGACGATACAAAACGAAAGTTTTTGTGACAACACAGAGAAAAACATTGTAGACATGTCGTAAGGTTTAAATTAAGTTTGCATATTGACATTTAATCTTGATTTTTAATGTATTTAGGAAAGAAATCCATCTCAGCAAACCATCAAGAGTTACTTTAGCAAGGTAAACTGACCAAAATAAAATGTGCACAACAATTCTGTTTACGTTACAAGAGCCTAACTTTTAACGTATGTTGAAACGTGTAAAGGTCTCTCGCTCACCTGAAATTCCACTGTTTTCACTTTCGGTTTCAACGCGACTGGAAGCAAATGTCTAAGAGTTTTTTGTGTTTGTTTGTCCTTTAACGTAACCGTCATTGTTAAGCTTTTAACAAATATCACAAGCTGAAGGCGAGTGATGTACAAAATAAGTGGATTAGTAATTATGCTAGTTAACGGTGGTCTTATGATTTTAAAAAAATCGTTTTGAGAGGTGCAATAACCGACAACTTTTTTGGTAGTATTTGAGTCATTTCACAAACCTTCTTGAACATACCCTAGAGGCATACAGCATTTTTGAGGAAAGTTTTTCCATAAAAGCACTGTTGGGTAGATAATTAGTTAAGTGGCATAAGGATTATTGGTTGTTGACAGTTTCTTGTTCAAATTCCTCACTACATTGATACAACAAAGAGAGTCCAAGTTAAGATCCTTGGATTCTTCATCCTGAAAAAATACAGCATGATCTTTGATTTGCAAATTGTAAACAGGCATCACCCGTTTTACTAGGAACAGGTAAAGAGTATATGTTTATGCCTACCTTTCATTAAACTGGGTCATAGTTACTCATCAGTTGGCTGGTCATCAACAGATTGTCTTCGAATAGTCAATGCATTGTTTGCATATGTTTAACCTCTAGGTGACCTCAAACAAACTTCACATGCAGATCACATGTTGACTAAGATATTGCAGGCTATTGATTGAATTTTTGGTGACCATTAGTAGCTATTATTTAACTGTTGTGCTACTAGCAACTATCAATGGACTCTCCGCTAACATACTGAGTAACCAGTTTATTAAGCAAGGTTACCTTGGGGTAGAAGGTACTCTCGGACATCCTTTCTTAGAATAAAGAGCCGTAAAAGTGACTAGCATCCAATTTTCCCTTCACAATATAACCCCTGAATCAAACATTTCAGACACAGGAATGAAGGAAATGATCATCAGCTAAAGAAGTTCTTGACTGTAAACCAAATTTCCTTGTCAGCATCTTAAGAGAACAGTGTGTAGAATATGCATACTGATGTAAGAGTGCAAAGGTTAAAGGGGAAGGATGGTGTTACCTTAGTTTGTTAAAGGTTAACAGAGATTTTTATGATTTACCAAACCCTCTTTCAGATCAAGGAACCACAAACAATGCTGTTCTTATGATCATAAGTTCTAAGTAACAAAGTGATAAATTATTTCTGTTACTCTGTAGGAGACCTGTAAACTTTGGACAACAGTGGGGCAGGAATCTAAAGGTTTGAGCAATTTTATCTACCATAGCAAAAAACATTTTTAGCTTGCAGTGGGATAAAGAAATACGTTACTCTCAAGGAGGTTCACAACGTTTTTTATGTTTAGTCAGGTTTCTTCATCTTTGCTGATGTGCCTCACAGTTCACAATTTGTTTTCATGTTAGATGCAATGTGTGTGACAAAACAAAATAATTTTAAATTTGGTATTTCTTTTGAGCAATTTAGATATGACATGTAAATGTATACTCAAAGTTCACTTTTCCTTAAAAATCAGAGAAAAAATAAGAGCACAAAAAAACCTAACTTTGACCTACTCAGTCCCGGAGATTACTATGAAAAATGTCTCCTGACTTTATTAATACTAAATCTATAAAAAGTAGAGATTTGATGATAACTGCTTCATCTTCTCCTTTATCTCCTTGCTGAATTGTATGAGAATCACAAGTAATACCAGAAAGCATGTTGGTATGAACGCACAGAAAAGAAACTACAGTAGATGTCTAGACCCCATAGATCACCAGTACAATAGCTCTTATGAGTAACCTTGGTCAAGCAGATGGCTAGTTGATGGTCAGCTCACTCTGGAAAAATTTTTAGTCCATGTCTCAGTTGAGGTGTCTCCTAATTACTGCGACATGAAAAAGTCAGCTACAGGTAGTTATCAAGAGAGTAGCAGTCAGCCTTTAGAAAATTACTTGTTTCAGGCTACTATAAACCAACTACTGAAGGTGTATTGACCTATATATTGATCAACTATTAGTCACTTGGTATTTTTTGTGTGTAAATCATGTCCCTGTAGGAAATGGAAAAAGGAAGAGCCTCAAATTATCAACAAAAAAGGTATGATTGAGAAAGATAAGTTAAACTAAAAGATGCTAGAAAGATATTATTCGAATGTATAATATTTTCCCCAAAATCCTGCTTCTAGGCCTTCTCCTTATTTAAGCACTTCCTATACTTTTGTAAGTCAGATGGGAACTCACTCACACACAAAGGGCACTGAGACATTGAACTGTTATTGAAAGAGATTTCATCTTAATGTCATGTCTATGTCTTTTGTTTAAAAATTTGTCATTGCAATCAAAGCTTTTCTACTGCTAAAATAATTTTTAGGTAGCACCTGTGTTTTTTCATGTGAACTTTTCAGGGCATTTAATTTTTTATTTTACATCTTTTAAGCAGGTCACCAAATGATCCATTGTATTGGGCTGTATGAGGGCTTAAAAGAGAGATTGTTCACCAACTTAAGTAAATTCTTTTACCAGCCAATTTACAAATGGTTTCTCCTATATGTCTAACTACATGTACTGTTTGACTCACAAGAAATGGACAATGTGTCAGTTGGGTAAAGATTAAACAGAATTTTGTTTGTGATATATTTGTTTTCTTATGTAGACAGAAGTTAGAGATGAAATTCCTTTGTTTTCTAGAAAGAAGATAAACTTAACACATTGGTGACAAGAAGAAATGACAAATCAAGATGTTCACCACAAAGTGGGAAAGGAAAAACTGATCAAACATGCTTTACAAAGATTGTGAAACAAAATGTTGTGTTAACACCCTTACCAAAGAATAAACAGGCAAAGAGTAATGGTGAAATGTCATCTTCCTCTTCTGAACCCAATCAGCCTCCTTATGCTCATAAGAAGAATGGATACAACAATTTTAAATTGCCATCACCAATATGCCAGCTAAGAAACAAGAAGAATACCTCAATAAATGGATCTAAGTGTAATCTTGCAGTCAACAATGTAAAAGAAATAGTTATCGAAGATGATGATTTCATTCCACCAACACCATCTCCAAATGGACAGCATAGTTTTATCAGCTGTTGTCCAGAAAGTACCCCATTGTTGCATGATGAAAGTAGAGTGTCCAAGGTTCTCAACCACTCATCTGCTGCAAATTATTACAAAAATGAGCTAAGTGAAAGAGGATCTGCTAAAATAAAAAAAGCAGTCTTTGTTGGTAATGATCCTGAAGAAGCAGATGATAACAAAAGGTTACCTGTCTCAGATATATCTTCACCTCCACATAACTATGTTGAAGCTCAAATGACAACACAAGCAACCAGTCGTAAAAAGTATAAGCTTTCCAGGAAGGGGTTTAAGCCACCAAGGGTACTGTCAAGTCCAATAAAAAAGAGCAACATCAGTGCATCAGTTGATAAGTCACCAAAGAGTCAGTCACCCACAGGAAACAACGCAGGCTACCAGAAGGAGTCTGTGTCCATTATTGCACCATCAAAGTGTGTCGTTCTAAGATCGAGAATGAAACGTTCAGCAGCCAGGGAAGTTCTCCTATGCAGAAGAGACTCTTAACAGAATATCCTTTGGAAGAAAAGGTAACCATCTGTTTTGAATCATAATTATGTACCATAGGTAGCCTTTGGTCAATATAGGGACTGATAAACAATCAATATGTGATTGTGAGTAAATAGCTGATTGGTAATGGACATATCTTCAACCAGTAGGTATACAGTGGTTGACTGACACTCTACTAAATTGTCTTGAAAAGTTGTCTTAGCCATTTTGGTTTCCTTTCTGGATCTATAATGGTTTTTTGTCAATTGCTGTTACAGAGTACAGTGAAATGTAACCTCTGGGACAGAATAGAAGAAGATTTACTCTCTAACTCTCCTGGAGAGAATGGAGAGAATGAAGGACAACAAGCTGTAGATCATGAACAGTACCATCTTGCAAACCATTGGGTTGAAAATAAAAATGTGATGAAACAGTACACCTTGGACACAAGCATAGGAAATTGCTCCCTTGATGAAAAATTACTGGAATGTGAAGAATTATTTGATGAAAGAAACCATGGGGAATCTTACAGTTGTACAAATACTAATTATGGTACAGAAGAGATGGAGAAGTGTGACTCAAATGTTGGAGGAGATCTAAAGAATCAATTTAGAACTCCTAACAAATCACAGTCTCATCAAATTCTGCAACCATCCAAATCTCCACCATGCAATAACTTGTCTGGGCAGTTGCTTACACCTACAAGAGCAGATGGAAATACTTCAGTGGACAGTCTTGCTGATGCTATGGAGTTGGATAATTTACTGGATGGTGTTAAATGGTCGCCTATGGTCAGCTTTCCTGAAACATTTCACATTTCAAGGTTATTGCACATACATTTTACTTCCTTCTATTGATTTCTCTAACTTACTTTTTCACTAAGAGATAACAACAAGACAGTTGGACTTTGGGTAGTTTGGACAGTTTTTTCCATATCTTGTTGATTAAAAGTTGTTGGTATCATTATGAAACCCCAGTTTCCCTTGCTCCAAATCTGATTGCCATAGGTTGATTAATGATGACCTGGCCTGAAATTTTTCATCCTAACCTGGATACAGTTAGATAGGAACATCATGATCAATGTTGAGGAAAAGAATTCTCAATATTTGTCTCTGGAAAAATAGAGACTCTTGAGACTTGAGAAAACAGAACTAACCATTCCTCTTGTTACCACATTTTGAGTTGATATAGCTTGCATTTCTGATATCTCATTTAGGAGTGCAAGTTAAAGTTCCAAATAAGTGATAGCTTAGTGGTCTGAGAGGAGGTGGGAATATTTTCCTTTCCAATTTCCACCTTAGTTTCCTTTCTCCAATTGACCACCCATAAGGCAGTAATTTATCACTCTTTCCAAGCTTCTGTTGCTTTGAGTATCAAAGATGACAGCCACTCATTTTGCAGGTAAGTACTGGGCCTTTAACTGGTGAGATAAAGCCAACATATGTTTGGAATATTTGTTAGCTTATTTTCCTATCAAATATCCAAAAATTATGGGATGTAAAAGGTATGTTAGTGCACTTCTGCAGGGTTACTCAACATCATCTTGAATGTTTGCAAAGCCTAACCTCTTGTATACTTTGTCAACAATTTGCCATTAATTTTAGTAAAAACAAAAAGCGGTCCTAATGGAGGAAATACAATGACATGGTATGCCATTACATGCATGGTATGCCATTACATATTCTGCATGATGTACCATTACAAATGGCACTTGTAGTGAGCAATGAAGAAAATTAGAGAACATCTTAATCTTTGGTGGGTGTATATAAAGTTGACACGTGGTTCAAACAATCTTGAGAGGTTCTTGAGTCTTAGCAAATGTCTTGAAAGTCTTTCAATTTGGTAGGATCCTTGAAAAATGATTGATTTATATATTAGGTCTTGAAAAGTCCTTGAAACCTAGGATTTTGTGTACCCACTATCACTCCTCTGGTAAAATTGAATGATGCTGTTGAGAAAATTTTTGTCCTGAATTACTTCTGAGATACTAAAACAACAAGGGTAAATGTTGGTATAAAACATGAACAGCTTCACAGAACAAAATTGAGATATTTGCCTTTACCTCATGTACCACCCCTTACAGTTGTCTACCATGCACTTTTGCTCCAAATGGCATATGTTGACAGAGTAGTTATGAAGCAATTGTCTTAGCTACCTTTGTTTGCAAGTCAAATGAGTGATGGGGAAATGTACATTCAATCATTAATGATTGAGTGATGAAAATTCAAAGCTGAGGAAACTGGACAGTTAACTCTGTTCAGTGCTCTCAGAAAGAAAGCCAAAGTAAAGACTCCTCAACTGCAAGAAGTTGATAGCAAACTGAATAAAAATTTGGAAGCTATAAATACCAGTTGAAATCTTTTACTTTGAATTTTGAGAAAATATTCAATATTAGTGTCTGTATTTCAAATTTTGTTTCTTTCCTTCAGACATATGTGCAAGCTGTCATATAGCCAGTTTACAAAATTGTTGCTAATGCCATGTTCTCATTAACCAAGGCTGGACTATCTTAAAATTGTAAACGACTTAGCTGTGTGTTTTAAGGAGAGGAAGAGTTTCAATTTCTTAGTTTAAACTTGGTCCTTGAAAACAATTTTTTGTTCCTGAAAAGTCCTAGAATTAGATTTTACAAGTTTGTATGAACCATGATGACATTTGTGAATGCATTCCCATAAAACTCCTTCAACTCCAACCATTTTATAAGGAGAGAATTATCATAACTTACTATCTATATGTATGTTCCATTTTTCAGCAACAGCAGCTCATGTAAAGCACTCTTCTCTCCTATCAGAAACACAGAGCAGGCTAACACAATATCTAAGGATCTCCAAAATAAATGCAACATTACTCATATTACTTGTCACTCTGGAACAAAGGGTTACAGTCGTTTCTTAGTGCTGGAGGTGTCTCGCAGAGAACTACAAGGCCAGGAAGTTGTGGCAAAGTATGGAAGACAATTACCAGAGAAGGTTCTTCGTTTATTTGACGAAGCGTCTGGTCAAGAAAAGTTCTGTAGTTTAAGGGAAGACTGGGAGATGAGCGAAGTTGAACCTGGTGACATTGTACATATTACAGGTGTGTATGTATTTTTTCCTTTATCTTTAATCACCAGACTCAGCAAATAGTTAATAGCAACTAAGCTAGCAGAAACTTGTCCTGATAAGTTTCCAACACTAATTTCAGTTTATAATGCTGAACCACATTTGATATTGGATCAAGTGTTTAAATTTGTGATCTCTAAACAGGGTCAGCTGTTCAAAGGGCAGATAATTCTATCCAACTGATAAATCACTATTCAGTGGATAAGTGTTAACAAAACATACTGTGCTAACCTCTGGATAGTGATCTATTTGACGGATAGTGTTATCCATCCTTTGAAAAACCAGGGCTAGTTCTAAAGCTTCACCAACTCTTTTTCCTAATATTGTTTTCCATAGACACCACATAATTTTGGCTGTAATGTTTTCTTTGACAGGATCATTTGACTCGTCAACAGCAACATGTATCCTTGATAACTCAACTGAACACTATCTTGTCATTCACCCTGATACTTTGGTATCTGGAACTACTGTTTCCATGGCAACTAAGTGTTTAAGGCAGGGCATACTCAATGAGCAATTTCGCACTGAAAGCCAAAGTGAGGCAATGTTGATTGGAACACTTCTTCATGATCTGTTTGATTTGGCCATGGAGTTTAAGGGTTAGTACTGCTGAATTTTATGCTCAAATTTCAGTAAGAAGATGTTACAGACACATGTTTGTCTTTTCATTTGTATTTGTTCTTTTTAACCCAGGACTTTTGTACATTATGGAGTCCTTAGAGTATCTGTAAGTTGCAGAGTTTGAGTGTTGGTTAAAAAATGCAGAAGCAGGAAAATTTATTGAAAAAAATAGGAGAATATTCTCCATCTCTGAATGAAAAAAAAGCTCAGGCTTGAGAATTCTCAATAGAAGACTTAGAATTTCGCAGTTGTTGATGCTTAATAAGCACTGTGCAAGGTTTTTAATAAGAGTATTATGGCTCCAAAGGTTCTTCTTGCCATATTTACATTTGGGATAGTTTCCTTATCAAGCAGGTGGTTCTTAGTGAAATCCAGAGTTAATTCAACTGAAAGGAGAGATTTGAAATGTTTTCACAACATATGTTCGAATTAGGGCTAACAAACTTTCCCCCCTTTTTTGGGTAACCCTGTCAAGTTTTCTCCATGCACTTTCTCTGGGAAACATCGCACTGAAAACATTTAAATGAAATCGTTCGCTATCTACAACGTTGAAGTTTTTGGCAAATTTTCCAATAATAGTGCACAAGTAATTCAAGAAACCTTTTTTCTTCTTTTACATGTATTTTCATGCTTCTTGTTATGTGTTAAATATTTTTTGTCTTCCAATGTTTTACCGCAAACTGCACGTTCATGCAATTGATTTTCTAGTTATCAGTCTGTTGTAAAGTCGCTTTGTCTCTTTAAAGAATTTTCTCCAGATGCACTTTTAACAAGAGCTAGAGGGCTTCTCCAGAGGCTTTCTTACTTGGATGACTTCTACAGCCTGGGACAGACAGAGAGTTGGGCCCTGGAAAAACTGAAGGAACATATTCCACTTCTCTGTGACTGGGCCAAGAAGTTTGTGGTTCCTTTTCCCCAACCTGATCTGGGGGCTATGGATTTTAAGACCCCTGAATTCCCACATCAGACTGAGCAACCAAGTGTTTGTGTGTCAGCACTGAAAGACATCGAAGAAAATATCTGGTCACCGCGGTATGGACTTAAAGGTTGGTATTTTCTTCTCCTTCTTCCTCGTTTTCTTATTCTTTTTTTCTTCATTTTCTCCGCAGTTTCTCTCTTTGTCTTTCACTATGCATTTTTACATTTCTGAACTCATTGGAATAGTTTAGTCCCAACATATTTCTTATACTTTTGACCAGAATGTACTCTTTTTATTCTCAAGCAAATACATTCACATGAGGTTTTGAGCTTGGCTTTATTTTGAAAGTGTGGGCTTTTTGAACCCAGAAATAGCCTACGTCATAAGTCTCTTTGTACCACAATATCCCATATATATAAACCACGAATATAAGCGTTTCTTCTGAAAAGTTAAATAACAGTTACAACTATTTTAACCGTCTTGGTATAGTTTCATCCTTTTTTACGATCCAATAATTTTTATTAAACATTTTCTTCGATTTTATGGTTACTTTTTGGATACAAAAACTTGACAAGGAAAACCGTATGAACAGAACGGTTTGCATCTTTGTTTTTAGGGAAAGTGGATGCCACCGTTGAAGTTAAAATTGATCGAAGACCTAAAATTGAAGACTGGGAAAATGTTCACTAAACTAGGTGGGATTTAAACAAACAAACAAACAAACAGAAAAATACGATACCAACTTTCATAAAAGTGTTGCGAGATGATTTTATACATGGTTGGTAAAGGCAACACAGCAGTCAAACCTCTGACTTGCGCAAGGGGATTAATTCTGGTCTTCTGCACGCCCATTTCGCGCAAAATTTCAAAGGAAAACACAAAGCTTATCTGACTAGGGGCATCAAGTTGATCTGTCTCTTATTTTGAACTTTATCACAATCAACTTGACGGAATGGTTGTGTTCAACTTTCTACGACAACCTGGGTCTCGCAACTTGAAAGCACGCCGCCTAGCCATTGCAAAGGTCGCAGATGCGCAGAAGTTTAACTGCTGTGTTACTTAAGTCTAGGGGTTGCAGTATGTCAGCGGCACTCTCAAAACCAAACATTCATAGTGTACTCCTTGCGAGGTAAACTTCAGCAAGATACGTTAACTTCTTGGCTCTAAGGAGGATGTCGCGATTTCGGCCAAATCCCGAGTTCATTTGCGTCTTGTATGCAGCTAGGATAAGCGACGTTAAAAGCTTCCTGTATTGCAAAAGAACATGAAGCTCATTCCTAGATACTTAAGTGGTCATCTTCAGAATGCATAATATTCACGAGTGATAAGAGGGGGCCTACTGAGATATAGCTTTTAGCAATTTAATTTTTTGTTATGGCTAGAGCTTTTAGAGATAAAGTGACGATAAATCAATGTATTATATCTTTCTCTTCTCCAACTTTTGAACATTTTTGAAGATCGATTTCCTGTGTAGAATATGGAGGAATCATCAAAAGGGATGAGCGTGAATTTAGCTGCACTCGAGATGTTACTAAACAAAAAATATTTAGCGTAGCACTTGGTACAAAACATAGTGATACCGCTTCCAAAGGAGCATGGGAAACCTCCTAAACAACAATAGGTTAAGTAATGGGCTTAAATCTTAAACTTACAGGAGTGATCAACATCTAATTACTTGCAATATCAATGAATTAATCAACAAACTGATGATGAGATCAGATAAAGGTATCAGCCTGAGAGTATTTTCAATATTGATGAGATACTAAATTCTCATTATTAATCGCGAAGGAAATGTGTAACACGCCCAAGGGAAATTACAGATAATACTTTGAGAGTTAAAAAGTTAGATCTCAGCTAAATGTAACTCCTGTCGACTAAGTTGTAGCTGTTATCTATATATTTTATGTATTGATTATTTTCCTTATCATTTGCATCACCAGGATCGATCGAGCACCGAGCACAGGTGATTCTGTACACTTTACTCATGTCTGATCGATATTTTCAAGCAGTTGACGCAGGGTTACTATTTTACATGAAGGCAGCTCATATGCTTAGTGTTCCGAGTTTCCTTCACGAGAGGAGAGCTCTTATCATGAAAAGGAATGAAGTTGCACGCTACTTGACACTGAACAGGGCCGGAGCCACAGGATCTATGCCAGGTTGGTAGAGATGAAGCTCACAATCTGTACGTTTATTGCTCACTGAGCAATAAACGCAGGCAATGGAACAAGCTTCTGTAAGCACCTTGGTCAGTAACGCGTAAGTTGTTATAAAGCCATCGAGTACAAATGATGGTGGCCTAACTAGTGGCCAGTGCGCTGTACTCCGGGTCGAGAGGTCCTGGTTCGAGACCCGGGCAGGTCATTGTGTTGTGTTCTTGGTCGAGAGACTTTACTCTCAGAGTGCCGCCCTCTCCACTAAGAGTATAAATGAGTACTGTCGATTGTCAGGGAAGCCTGATGAAATGCTGGGGGGTACCCTTGCGATGGATTAGCTTCCCATTCGGGGGGGGGGGGGAGGAGTCGTAATACTCCATGTCGCTTCATCGATTTGGAAACCGGGATAAGCTCCAGCTGGGTGGGTCAATGGGCTCGAGTAGAGACTTAACCTTTTTTTTTAACTTTGTCTTAATGACATAAACGTATGTTTTTTTTTATCGCTTAGCAATGTTGAAAGATCACAACACCTGCAAGCGATGTCCTCAGGTTCAAAACTGCACCACTTTTCACAAAGCAGTCGAACAAGGAGACGGTGTAACAAGTGGTCTGGGATCATTATTTAAAGAGATGACCGAACACATGTCCAGAACCTACGTACGCTACTTTAGAGACTGGTATAAACTGGTTTGTCTGGAAGGTAAGGAGATGGAACAAAAAAGAAATCAGAACGAGATTTGGTGTTTGGACGGAAGCGAAAGGGAAAAACTTGGTCGCTGTTTTAGCGGGATGGTACTGAAGTCATGTGGTTATGACATGGTACAAGGGGGCAGTCATTATTACAGACACAAGTTCGAGCGCTGTGCAGATCATCCTAGCGTGATGTCATTACAGGATGTGCCAATTACGTCGGGGGACCGTGTGATTTTAAGTGAAGAGAATGGTGGAGCCACAGCTGTCGCGGCAGGTAGGTTTGCACAAATTGAAATTCTTATAATTTATAGGATCAGTCCTTGAACAAACAAACTACTTTAGATCTTTTGGCAAAGCGAGATTGTGCCATCCATTTGCCGTGGTTATTAAATTATTATGGCGCAGAAATAACATTAAGCTGATTCATTTTCAGAGCTTGTCGAAATTGTAGAGTTGTGCGTAAACGAAGTTACGTTAATTTCTGAACTTGCAGCATTTTATGGTTCCTTCTACATAGGGTACATACATGAGGTGAAGAAGAGCGAAGTTGTTGTCTCACTAGACAGAGATTTGACTAAAAGGTAAAGAATTCAAGTAAGGTTTCATAATAGAAATATTAAAAAAGGATGAGATTTAAATGCGAATCTGTTAAGGTTAATGTTTGTGCCAGAAAAAGCGGTTCATTTGAACCGGGTTTCTTTCCTCGTTTTTCTAATGCAAAATCAATGGGAATTGTTCAGTGGTGAGGTGAATAACAAGGTATGTTCTAAAACCTGGAACTTGCCGGAACACCGCGGAATTAAAAAAAGAATAAACATAAAACTTGATTAAAAAATAGTTAAAAAAATATGAGGAAAAAACTCAATATACGTGTTGCTCGCGCTCTTCGTGCGTCAAGTACGCCATCTTGGTTTTCGCTGACCATGGAGAATGGTGGGATTTCGGGTTTAAGCACGTGTAGAATAACAACGTCAATAAAGTCGTTCACAATACATATTTTCCTAAAAACTTAAACGGGAAATGTTAGCACTCAATCGCTGATGAGTTCACTACTTGCACCTACAGTTATGATACACACACTAAAGAAACAAGCTCCAAACTCTATCGCCTTGACAAAGACGAGGAGTATAGCACTCAAACAACTCTGTGGTCCAACATGGCAAAACTGTTCAAAGGTGACTCTGACAGAGACGCTCAGCTGCGTCGCCAAATCGTAGACTTGGAACCACCGGTGTTTTCAAGGGAAAGACGGAATGACACAGTGACCATGTGCAGTCAGACATCAGATATCGCTCAGTTCTTCTCACAACAATCACCGTAAGTGTTGCTCTCGCTTGATAGAGAAAATAACATTTGAATGTCAAAAGTAACGCGGAATTATTGGCTTCTCCCTTTCCCGCCCTGTAATTGAGAAAGAAATCACGATCCTTTTTGCTAATTAAAAGCAAAGCCAATTGAAATCATTCGTAACTTGGTCATTCGCGTTTCCCGCGCTACATACGGTCCACTTATTTATACTTTGTGTTCTTATTGAATCCTTTTGATATTTTACTTCTGATTGTGCTCGTAGAAGCTTTGGTTTTTCCAACACTCAGTAAATTTCGCCTCTTTCCGCGATAGGGCCTTTACTTGTATGGAAGCTTTCTCCGGGCGAGCGGGGGCAAACGATAAGCGAATGCGAAGGGCGAGAAGGGAGTGCGAAAAAATTGTTATGATCAGTATTTTATTTTTTTGCGCTCCTCTTCTTGTGCATGTCTTGCGCTTCGTACTTGCCGTGCGTTTGCCTCTACTCGCCTAAAAGATGTAATATTGATCCAGTTATGCAGGCGTTTTGGAATGTGGCTGTAGAGACAAAATTGTAATGGGGTAAAACTGGTTAATTAAACTCCAATAATACACACAAAGGTGCGAACAATGTGAGGGACGCTACGTCTTCTCCACCAGATGAAGAAGTAGCCGATGAAAGAAGAAACAGTTCATGGCTACTAACAAGGTAGAAACGACGTAGTTTCACTGCCATTGTCGCATTGATGCGCATTCTGTGGCTGTAACACACTCTTACAATTATCGACGGAGATTTAGTTGAAGCTTGTTATGTACAGGTCTCAAAGCAACAAAAGCCAGAAGTCCTTGCCGGACCCAGCTGTGGAGTCTATCCTACAGGAGCTGAACTCAGGGCAACGGAAGGCGGTATCTAAAGCCCTTGCGGCCCATCACTATGCGCTGATCCTAGGTATGCCAGGAACAGGAAAGACGACCACCATCTCCTGCTTGGTTCGTGTGCTGGTGGCAAGTGGTAAATCTGTTCTACTCACTAGTTACACCCATACTGCTGTGGACAACATTTTACTCAAGCTTAAAGAGGTTTGTCAGTGGTCTTATTTATTTTACTTGATATACTGAGGCCAGCCTAATTTTTCAGAATTGGGAGGCAATTTCCGATCTATGAAAACTCTCACTTTCAGAATGAGCCCAGTTGTAAAACCATGCCAATGTATTAGAATGCTTTGTGTGTTTGTGTAAAAAGTTGTTTTTCACATTTGAAGTTCCACATTTACCTTCGTTTTAACCAAGGTTTTAGTCTTTCTGTAATGGCCTGCCGTAGCTATTATACATTTTTATAGCCAAACGAAATAATTTAATTGTGATAATGATATGGATTGTTTAAAGATTATTCTTTGTAAGGGATTTTCTCTCTTGCACTTGTTTTGGTTCATTGTTTACTTCCAATGTTTGGTACTCAATTATACAAGAGAAGCTCGTTACTTGGCCTAACAATGGTTGAGTGGATTAAGCACTATCCGGGCTCTATCAAGCTGCGCAAGCCTCACCATTAATGAAAACTTTAAGTGGTCTGTGTTTGTCAGTGTATTCCGGGAATTCTTGTGTTTATTTCCTCTTTAATAGCGAAGTGCACCAGTGGATAAGTAAATAGGGATGAATTCAAAGTACATTGTATTTGTTCACTCATAATTTCAAAATATTGTCTAGAAATAGGTGATTACAAATTTATAAACTTATCATGTAAGACCAACTTCTCCTTATATATTTTCAAGAAAATATATGGCTGCCTGGAGGGAGAACTCAGTTCTAATCAAATTTTTGTAGTTAAAGAGTTAGATGTGAACTCTGATCTTCTTTTCCATGTCTTTCCTTTCAGGCAAACATAGATTTCCTTCGTCTTGGCCAGGTCCATAAAATTCTTCCCAAAATTCAATCATACAGCGCGCACCGGGCAGCTGCTGGCATCAAAACTGTCAATGAACTAAGGAAGTTATACGAGTCCAAGGTAATATTACTGTTCAACAACAAGAAACTGAGCATACAGAAGTTACCGTAAATGCACCAATGGACCCCCCCCCCATAAGCCTCTCTCGTCCCCCCTTCCCCCTATAAACAAAATTTCTAAAATAGGAGTAGCATTATTAGTCAATTTAGATAGCAAGTGTTTCAGTTCAAAATTTACTTGCGTTTTAAAGCCTCAACCAAAAAAAATGCATACTAATACGCCCCAACGTATACAATTGTTATATGGCGAAGAAATACATTAACGATTTAGACTTATTTTTATCAGTGTCCATAGTAATCTGGGGTCGAATTGGTTTTGCGCAACGAAGTCTCTGAATGGTATATAATTTTTACGCCAACCTTCAAACCAATCAGACACAAAACTAAAACCAATTAAGACCTGGTTGCACGTGCTTTCCTACACTATAGACATTTTGTACATATTTATCTTCTGGTGATATTTATCTTTGTGTTTACCTTGGTTCTGTCTTGAGAAGTGCCCAATTATGGACGATATAAGCCATTTTACAACGACAATATAGTTGTATAAAGTATTAGTTTCTGCCGTTTTTTTTTCTAGTCCGTAGTGGCGACCACCTGTTTGGGTGTGAAACACGCCCTCTTCTCTCAACGCTCCTTTGACTACTGTATTGTGGACGAGGCTTCCCAGATCACCCAACCAGTGTGTATTGGTCCTCTAAGGCACGCCCGTGTCTTTATCTTAGTGGGTGATCATTATCAGCTGCCACCCTTAGTGCAGAGTGTAGAAGCTAGGTAAGTTAAACTTTCCATCTCATTTTTCGCATATTGCATAAAACTGGCAATATATTTCTTCATTTGCTATAAAATTAGAGCCATATTTCTTTACTGCGAAAAACGATGGAACGATCGACTCTTTATGAGCTATTGGCTTCATTCATAACGTTAGTAGAATCTAAACGAGGAACCCCTAGAGATGTGATTGGCATCTCTCCACTGATGTATTTTCTGGGGTCCAAACTCTAGGGTTGCACTAACCCTTTAGCGCTCCAAGCTCTCTTTACCATACAAACCTGGGGTTGCATCAACTTACAATAAGTAGAATCGTATCAAGGTACCACGTTACTAAACCAGCTCTACCATCAAGCATAGGGTCGTAATGAGTGATTAATGAATAAAGCAAACTCTAGAATACTGATATGACTCTTTACTTACGTATCAGCATACAGACGTGGTGCGAGTTGCCAAACCTTAGGAGAGCTATGTTCGAAACGTTATTACATTCTGAGAAAATAATTTAACAAGTTCTACGGAAATGTTTTTAGTTCCCTGCATAGTTTCAGGGGGTAGTTGAGATGTCCATGCTCAAATACCAGCCTACCCAGCAACCTTAGCGTATTGGCTAAATATACTTGAACGTTTTTGCTCCATCTACAGAGAGGGTGGTATGGACGTAAGTCTGTTTAAACGCCTTTCAGAACGACACCCACACGCGGTTGTTAGCTTAGAGCATCAGTATCGAATGAATGAAGACATCATGGAGCTGTCGAACACACTGATCTATGAACACAGGCTTAAATGTGGTACGCAAGGCGTGGCAAGGGCAGTCTTGGAGCTGCCGAACTGGGACGAATTTTTTTGTTATATGAAGGAGAATACGGCCAATATCAAAGGTATGCGACACTGATGTTCTCAATTCTCTACTGTAATTTGCGTTGGTCGATGTTCATTTTGTTTCTATGTGGCAAGGTATATATTAGCTCTTAAAGTATTATACATTGGGGCCCCCACAATTTTTTTGTTCGGCGAGCGGATCTTTCTCTTTCGGTAAGAGTATACCGTAAAAAATTTTCTAAAGAGGTCCCCGTACACTTATCGGGGTAATTCTTAGTGATTATTAGCTGCCTTCCTTGCCGAAAAATTCGAGTGCTGAACAAGCGATGGACAAATCGGGATAGAAAATTACAATCAATTTTAACTTTTCAACTTGAGGCGTAACATCTCTAATATTCTCCTCACTCGCAAACTAAAAGTATAAAACATACAAGTCTCAGTAATTGTAGGTCAGGGGTATTATAAACACGTCATCCAAACTTTGAAAGGATTTACTCGAATATTTATCCATTCTCTCCCCCTACAATCGCGGAAAAAGATTGTTGAGACAAATTTTATTTTGGTCGAGGAGAACTCAAGGGAAGCAACACTGAACGGAAGTACGGTGCCATTTAAGCATGTGTAAGGAAAGTAACTGAAACTTTATCTGAGATATTTTAACAGATTTTTCCGCGTTTGTAGGTAACTGGATACTAGACACACTCTTGCCCAGTCGACCGGTGGTGTTCTTAGACACGGATAGGGTCCCCGCGCCTGAGTCTCGTTCAGAGCACTTGGTGTCAAACGAGACAGAGGCCGCGATCGTTCACCAACTAGCTTGCGCACTCTTGAAAGCCGGCCTCCAGCCTGCATCACTCGGTATAATCTCTCCGTACAGGCACCAACTCAAGCTCATAACGCAGATTTTTCATCGAGACGCCGACACCAAACAAAACGAAATCGAGATCAACACCGTGGATAAATATCAAGGTCGAGATAAGGCCTGCATCATTGTGTCTTTAGTTCGTAATAACGAGCACTCCAACGTGGGAGACCTGCTAAGGGATTGGCGCCGAGTTAACGTGGCGGTAACTCGTGCGAAGCGGAAATTGATTTTGATTGGTTCGCTCATGACACTGAAAGGTAGCTTGCTACTCCAGGAGCTTTTTGACCTGCTGGAGCTAAAAGACTGGGTGCAAGTTCTACCTTACGATGGGCAAAAGATGTTCGAGTTTTTGACAAAATCTTTCCAGACTTCTCCCAGTAAGAGCCTGGAAACCTAGTGAACCTACGAAAAGAATTTAAAGTATTTGCCAAACTTTTGGCGTAGTCATTACTCGCAAATTGATGCTTCAATTTATTAATTGCTAAGGATTGGTTATCGTTTGTCGAATGATAATTTTTGTGTGGTAAAATTCCTTGTTTCGTTGTTTGTTACATTTTTTTCGCTGGCCAAAGAATATTTGTATTGAGTTTATTATCACATCGTAATTTCAGATATGTTAACATAACTGTCAGTTAACGATGACTTGTATAGTGAAACGGAAAGGTCTGTCACGTCCTTTTCTGTATGTATTGTATCCTCCTTGCCGTGATGGTTTAAGACCCGTAAAGAGGGTGCTGAATCGAAACGCGCCAGGGATTTTCCTGGCCAACTCAGAAATATTGACAGATTCTGTGTTCTCTAAATTTTGTAAAAGTGACTCAGCCCACTGTTACGTCTTTGGTTCACAAACGCCATCGGACATTCCGCGAAAAAAGCTAGTACTGATTTAAAACTCACTAACCCGAGGAATTTTTCAAGGATCTTCCTTAGAATAAAGAAAGACATATGCCTGTAGCAGCAAGCTTACCCCTAAGAAGTACACGGCCGTTGGTTGTTTCTTGCTACTAGCCGCGAGAATGGGTAGCTTTAAGCACTAGCGTCTATGAATTACCACTGAAGTAAGTCCGTCTGATATCCAATCTCCGTAAAGTCTTCGTGAGCCCAATGTTCGGGAAACCTATAAAGCCAACCGGTGCGCTCGTGGCCAAATCCTCGACTGGTTTCCGTCGCCAATCAAGAATGAGACCATCTACGGCATTGACTCGTTATTTCTCGCCACTTGTTGAATACCTTTTGTGGTATTGGAATTGATTCTGCTTCCACAAAAGATTATCACAATTACTTTCAATAAAACCAATCAAAACATCGAGTAAACAGAAGTAGTGGTTTAATCTTAACTAAACATGAATCATCATTGACAAGCTGCTTACAGCTATAAGCTGTTATCTTTTCTGTTTCCTTTTAACCAACTTTGATTGAAAATAAAGTAAATTATTTCGTTCAAAGTTAACTTTTACCCGTCGGGTCCCAAAATATAACAATCATTTAGTTTCTTTATGAAATCAAGATACTTTAATATTCAAAGGATTATATTAAGTAACGTTTAGTTTATTTCCCCGAACATGGAATCTCGTCGATACTATTAGTAACACTTTTAGTTGGCCTTATGAACAAGAGTGATGATGACTTTCCCATCTCCTTGTTTCACACCCTTTCCCTTTTCCTGGTCGGCGCCGCCGTTGAAAGACCCTCCCCCTCCAGCGATGGTATATTTGCGATCCTTTACAACGCCCCCGCCCGAGTACCCACCGCCTGCGCCAGGATAATGATATGCCGCTCCACCTCCCCCAAATCCCCCAAGTCCTCCACTTCCCATGTATTTCACTCTTCCTCCTTCTCCACCGACTACAAAACGCTTTCCCCCTTCAGTAAGGCGTCCTGATTCTCCATCTTCTTTTAAGCCACCTCCCGCCCCGCTTTCAAAAGAGCCTGAAGGATATCCCTGCTCATATAATTCTCCCCCAGCTCCTTCAGAACCCCCATGTTGGGAGCCAGTTCCGGTGATTTGCCCAGGGTCTCCATCCTTCGGTGTCCTCCAATGTGCATAGCCTCCACCCCCACCCCCGGCAATGATGAATGGAATATCTGATAAAGAGGTAATAAAAGTACCCCCTCCCCCTGCCCCTGGTAAATTCGCTCCTTTGTTACTTCTACCACCTGTTTGGCCCACAAGTATTTTAAGGGTTGTTCCGCGAGTAAGATTGAAAGTTCCTTTCATATAGGCGCCTTTCCCACCCGCAGCTATGTCCCCTTGACCGTAACCGCCTTCACGGCCATCAGCTCCAGATGCTCCCCAGGCCTCTATGACGTAAGACCCAGTAAGCGGTACTTGCCATAATTGGATACCGTTTTGCAACGTCACCTTGCCCTCAAGTGTGGTACCTTGATACCTGTATGTGTATTCCGGACCTGTAGGACCCAGTGCACCAAGAGTCGTGAATGTGAAATTGGTACGGGCTGCCATGAAAGAAAGAGGCAGACGTTAAATCGAAGAAAGTTTCTTCCATTATTATCTTATTATTACCTTCCAGATTAAGAAAGTCTCTATATCATTTTGTTAAGGTCGTTTTATCAGGTGAAACCAAGTCTGCACATGCTTCAGGCCTGCGTACTCCTTTCAGCGAAAACTGACATGCATCCTACTTGCAATTTTCGTTCACTTCATAGTGACACAAAAAAAAAAAACGTCGTGGAATGTTGGAAAATGTTTTTGACCCTATTGACGTATAGCAGCAGCGAATGCTAAATGTTTCACTCTCGGCGAGAAAGGCAACCAATTAAGTTCTATTTTAATGATCTTCGGAAAAACTGGGTGTAGATTCGAACAATATGTCTCAGGTGATGATATAGGCTGTTTTGATGACGACCTCTTTCAGTTTTATTTGCAAATAATGCAGGTCCTATCACTGGTTTAAATCAGTGTTGACACAGCAGTTCCCTATATGACAGCCTCTAAATAAGCACATTCCCAAAGGATTGTTTTTTATTTAATCAACTCTCTAACATTTTACCTTCAAGTGTGTTGTTGCTCCCTATTGACGAGTCTTCTGTACAGTGTTTACCCTGAGAAGACATTAGATCTACGTAAATAGATACCCTATTCTCCAAACCTGAGCTATATTTGCATGGCAAGTATATCAAGTATACCAAGGTTGAATTTTAAGATCTGTCAGTAGGTGATTCAAATTTGTAGCCAAAACCGTGTAGAATTTACAAAATTTTTCACCTGCTTGAATCCTCTTCATTTACATATAGAATAGAGCCTTTTCGCTTGCAACCCCTAAAGATTATTGATCATTTCAGGTTTTACGAACTCAAAAGTTTTTGTCCAATTACTTGCAAAAAAATTGTGTATCATTTTTTTTCATTTGCAGGCAATCCTGGGTAATACTTGGCAAAATAACACGCTTATGCGCGAAATAACGCTACGCTGTATTTTGTTTTTGTTTTCGTTTTTTTTCTGGCACATAGTCAAACACTTTCAAAAGCTAACCTTGGAGTTTGAAGGCCTATAATGTGCCTGCAACAAACAAACAAAAAAAAGAAATATAAAAAGGAACAGTATTACCTTACAGCATCTATGCAAAACGACATGAATATACTTCAAACACATGAAAGCTTTGATATCATACCGTGAGATTAATCAGCTCAGCAAAGATGAATCCCGACGTAGGTACGAGAGAGGTATAACCACGGGAATCCGTGCCTTTGTCGTTCAATTCACAAACCATATTTCCTTCGTTGTTTCTGTAATTCAACGAGCGGCAAATATGACGTCTTTTCAGGCAGAGCTGTGCACATGATAAAACACTTGGTGCTTTCCGTCGATCTATGACATGACCGACGAGGTGGAAACCCTCCTTTATCTGCAAGGAGGATAAGAGGCTCTGGCTTCTTGGTGGAGATGAACACAAGATAACTGTCTGTAATAAGATGGCAAGATTCATACTAAGAACTTAAGAAGAGAGTGAATTTCCCCCGCGACATTTCAAGGGAGTAACAGCGATTCATTTCATAATGCTTTATACAGGTGTGGGAGCTAATATCATTCATTGCACGAGTTAAGTTTACCCAGTGATATAGTCGCAAGTTCGTTTTCGGCTCAATAATTGAGCTGTTGATGACGTTTTCAACAACTGTGTGGTTAATAGAGCAACATTGTCATGTTGTGTCATTGTCAAGTTTGTGACACCAAGGTAAAGGTTGAATTTCATATCTCATTTCCGAATCAAGGTGATTTTTCTAAAACATTCTGAATCATCGTTATTCAGCGAAAATTTTATATTATTTTATAGCTTTTTTGAGTTTCGATCCCCGTTGTACATTTAAACAATAGCCTCTATTTGGCTCGAAAATATGCTCGGACATTTGTCCGCGGACATAATCTGTTCCGAGACGCGAACAGTTTTCTGAGAGCGAGGAAAACTGTGAGTTACGCGGAACATATAATGTCCAAGGACAAATACACGACCATGTTTTCGCCCCAAATGTTGGCAACTTAGTATCCATCGAATATTTTTGCAACGCACGGAGAAAAATGTTTACAAAAAGCTTACCGTTTACTGCGGGGGATGTTTACTTTTCAGTGTTCTCTGGTATGACTTTATCAACATACAAACACGTCCTTTTCGTTGTAACAACAGCTAAGCGCTCGCTCATCTTGAATTTAATGTTAACACAAAGACTGTTATCCTTGTGGACGTGAAATCGGCAGGCTACGGGGTACGAACTGACAGTAAATTTGAACTGCAGTTGAATGAACCTTTTTGGGAAAAAAAATCAAGCAACTAGGAAAAAGTTTTCACCGAGGTGGACATTTGTCAATGGATGTGCAAATAGTGATTATTCACAATAAAAAATAAAAAAAAGTGAAGTGGGGCTTCCTCAACCTGACATTGACCAGGCTGCGCGGAGTCTTTTTCCTCTTGAGGACTCGACGAAAAAAGAATTGCGAGGCCAAACTGTCTGACACTGCACAGGAGAAATTGACTATACGGTCTAACCTGTGCTCCGCGTTTAAAGAATAAACGTGCGTCTTCTTTCGTTTACGAGAATGAACGAACTTTCGACCGAAAATGAACATATCTATTTTAATTGTTTACTTTTATCTCCCTTTCATCTCCTTTATCTCCCTTCGTTGCTTGTGATACAATAATCATTATTGGAAGGAATCCTTCTCTAATCGTTTTTTACAGATTTTTTTATTCTTTGACAGCAGTACAGTTTACCAGCAACTTTGATGTTTGAAGAAAGCGACAAAACTTCTGAGTCTGTAATACATGTTTCGACAGAAACTTCTGTCATCTTCAGTTAATTAATGTACAAACCGTTGGAAGTTGAATTTATAGTAAGTAAACAAATGCTAATTATGATAAATGGTGACAATGCCTGTTACGTCGGTGAAACGTGCCAGCATTTTTCCACACGTGTCAGAGAGCACTTAGTCAGTGACAAGGCCTCTCACGTTTTCAAAGCATCTGCAAGATTCTGCACATTGTCGCGCTTTGTGTTCAGCGGATAGCTCCCATGTTTTGAATCACGCCCCTACCGGTTTTAAACTCAAGACAAAAGAGGCTATTCATATTCAAAGAGAACAACCATCCTTGAATCAACAACTACATATGTAAATCTAAAACTATCCATTTAATCCTCACACTTTCATGCTTTACCTCTTTTCTTGTTGTCATCGTTTATCATAATTAGAATTTGTCCAGTTACTATAAATTTAACTCCCAACGCTTTGTACATTAATTAACTGAAGACGACAGAAGTTTCTGTCAAAACATGTTTTACAGACTCAAAAGTTTTGCCGCTTTCTTTAAATTCTTGACTTGCTGCTAATATCAAGAGTATCAAGACCCTTTGGAAACTTTAACCTTCCTGTGAGAACCTCGTTAACTTGAAGAATCAATATTACTTTCGAGATTTTCCTTTTTCAGCCTCCAGAAGTGTGATGATCACCTTCCCATCCCCTCCCAGTCCTTCTCCCTTCTTCGGGTTAGCACCCGTGTTAAAAGACCCTCCTCCGCCAGCGATGGTTTCTTTTTTATCCTTCACAACGCCCCCGCCTGAATACCCACCCCCTGCCCCGGGATAACGCCATGCTGCACCACCTCCCCCAAACCCTCCAAGGCCTCCATTGGGGGAGTTCCCTCCTTTCCCTCCGTTTATAAATCCTTTTCCCCCTTCATCGATCTCGCCAGACTTCCCATCCCCGTTCAAGCCACCTCCCGCTCCACATTCAAATGAAGCTAACGGGGAGCCCTTTTCGTAAAGGTTTCCCCCATATCCGTCAGCGCCTCCTGCCTGTGACCCATTCCGTGTGGTCTGGCCTGAATCCCCTTCATGGAAATTTTGTGGCTGCGCAACACCTCCTCCCCCTCCACCAGCAATAATCAATGGAGCGTCTGCTGAAGAAGTGATAAACGTTCCCCCTCCTCCTCCTCCCGGTAACGGTGAACCAGCTTTCCCCCTGCTGCCACTTTGTCCAACGAGAATTTTGAGTTCCTTTCCACGGGTGAGATTGAAAGTTCCTTTTACATAAGCACCTTTCCCTCCTGGTCTTGTGACCGCTGACACCTTATCAGATTGGCGGCCTTCAGCTCCGGATGCTCCCCAGGCTTCTATGACGTAAGATCCACTTAAGGGTACAGTCCATAATTGGATGCCGTTTTCAATTCTAATCTTCCCTTGCAATGTTGTGCCTTTATATCCAGATGTACCTGTTGGCCCATTCGAACCCACCGCACCAAGAGTTGTGAAGGTGAATTTGAAATCTGGGAATATGTAAACAGTTCCATGCTTACTATGTGGGATCAGAGGATAACATAGAGGACTAGTTATCACTTTCCGAACAGCTTGTTCTGAATCTTTTGGACTGACGCATGTCCCTAATAATCATCTAGTTGGACGAATTTAACAACCCTTGATGTAATGTTTCATTCAAGCAGTCTTCTCTATTTGATGATATATCTACCTTGTATGCAGCAAATGCATTAAGGCTTTTGTTTTTTTCACTTAGTGCTTACCAACAGCTCTGTAAACTAGCAAAATCCCTATAGTTAACTTAATGGTACATTTTGACGCAGCAAGACAGAACGAATGAGTGGCTTACGACTCTTGTTTGTACTCGCGCCATGCGAATGACGTTACCTTAACTAAAGACATAGATAAGTATCTTGAATAACAATAACTTACCCTCACACACACCTCGAGTCTTGTCAACATCAAAGTTATCCGTGGTGGAGCACCACAGCCCGAAGAGCTTGTCAACTACGCACGAGTGCCGATTTTTCCCGTGGTAAATGAATGGAAACACACAGCAACCTCCATGTTTGGTTCGCCAAGTTTTACATTCTGCGGGAGTAAGTGGTGGCAGAATTTAGTGTTTCTAGAGTTTAAATGGAGAGGAAACATATCCTACGCAATTACGCAGGTCTAACGATTGTGGTACGAGCTCCTCTCTGATCATAGGACTTAATGGAAAGGAAACATGGCACCTAAAAGTTCATGTTCGTTGTAAGCGACTGAGTTGGCATAGTTACTTAATTTGACTATATCCGAACTTTTTCCTGATATAAAAATAATGAAACAACCAAGCTTTTGTTGCCTTTATTCCTTCACCTGGCAATCCTCACTGAAAAAAGATCGTTGCGCGGTTACAACATAAGATCTTGTATGTAAGGAAAGTTTTGGTTATCGTGTGAACACAAGAAAGTGATCTTTCCAGAATAAAGAATGCATTCTCATGAACGACTGTCGCAGCCACATCGAGTGAAATACTCTTTCCAAAAGGTTAGATCACGTCTTCCAGTGTCAGCCCGCGGTTATTTTGCTATTCATTCTAGATATTTTCCCGTTCAGCCAATAGGCCCAGATCTATTCCACCCTTTGCACCCTAACATCAATATGTATATTCTCCATACTGTTCTCTTTGCATTTCGCAAGGTATTGACAAGGAGAATTTGATAAACAATCCAAAGCTTCTATAGTTGTCATCATTTCCTTTATTATCGTGATCTTAATGTGTGTCTCCTTTTATCTAAAACGTTTAGAAAATATCGGGACCCAAGCGATCCATTAAGATCGTTGATAAATTCACCTGAACCTCCTCCTATGTCATCTATTACATAACTTGCACTTATTGCAAAAAGGTATACATGGAAGAAACGGGAAGACGACTAGGCGACCGATTCCGAGAACACCTTCGTGCCGTTATGACAAAGACGCATCCAAACCAGTGGCTAGACACCTTCATCTCCCTGATCATTCTAAGCAACATATGGTAGCCTGTGGCTGTATAGTTGCGAAGGAATCGTTTTAATATCTGCCATCAAGTGTTACATCAACTGGCTTGTTCTTACAAACGTCCGTCCTTTTAGTTCAAACACTCAAACGAGGCTACTGCTAAACAATGCCTATTGTTACATCCTTTTCCTTACAAAAAAACAAATTAAACAAAGACAATCAAGATAAACAAAAGAAAAGAAAAAAAGAACAAACAACGTAAGTGAGTTCAACTGTTCAAAGTTTGTGGAACGTAGAAAGCTTCGACGCTGGTTACATCCCAGTAACATAATCCCTTAAATAAGCTGGCTTCTTAACAACTCTGCCTGATCGCGTTGTTGGGCCTTGCACAGGTAACCCACTAGGCTGAACAAGTGGCTCCGGTTGCCGAGATGCCATCGCATGCCCATTGGTCGCATCCACTCGACCACTGGGTACGGTTGTCCGCTTACACGGCGCGGAGAGCTCATGACCAGTCTGTGCTTGTTCAGGTAAGGATGTCGACTGTTAATCCGACTGCTCAACGCCTCCTTCAGCCACCAAAGCAGGTCTTGAACTCCGGCAGGCCTCCTTTGTTTTCCTCAGGTGACGGTGATTTCGACGATATCTGGCTCCATCTTCGGTAGCCACCTCGAAGGACCAAGTTCCAACACACCTTTCAACCTTTGCTTTCACAGCTTCTTTACTCGGATCTCCAGGCGGCACGAGTCGAACTGTATCTCCACTTCTAAGTGCTCCCAGATCCTTATCCCCCCTATTGTAAGAAAGGACTCGTCGTTCTTTCTTGGCGAGAAGCTTCTGATAGATCTTGGGCTGGACAACTGGCCTGAGAAGCTTATGAATAATGGGTAGTTGTGCTCTTGTGCGCCTTCACATCAACCGCTGCACTGGACTGGTGCCCAATCCCTGACTAGGCGTGTTTCTGTATTCGAGGAGAGCGAGATATGGATCTGTTCTGGCTTTTCTTGACTTCCTATAACATTTTTAGCGGAGTTAACAGCCGCTTCTACTTTTCCGCTTCTTTGCAGATAGGCTGGCGAACTTGTTACATGCACAAATTTCCACTGGCGGCTAAATTCCTTAAATTCAGTCGAGGTAAACTGAGGACCGTTGTCTGATACACACGTCTCCGGGATTCCATGCCTTGCAAAGTGCGACTTTAACTTATGTACTACCGCCCCCGAAGTAGTTTTGTCAAGGGAATCCATTTCCCAGAAAGAAGAATAGTAATCAACACAAATGAGATAGTTCCGACCCCCGTAAGTGAACAAGTCAACTCCAACTTTCGCCCATGGCCGGTCTGGCACTTCATGAGGAATGAGTATAAACTGCTTGATTTCACCGCTCATTCCTGGCCAGTATATGCTTTCTCTAGCGAGCAAAAAGGCGCTTACAACTCCACTATGAGCATAATGCAGACGATACAACATGTCTCGACGCAGCGACTTTGGGACCACCACTCTCCTCTAATGACAATGCCATCGCAGACGCTCAACTCATCACGAACGTCAAAGAAGGGCAACACCAGATGAGACAACTCTCCTTTAGTTTCAGGCCAACCAGCCTTGATAACTTTAATCAGTTCTAGACGGCTGTTATCCTTCTGCGTTTTGTCTTTAATTTCTTGAAGCGTACTCGGCTTCAAACGGATGTGCTGCGTCATGTTGATGCTCTCAATCTCTGAAGCGACATCCTGGCTTCCATCGTAAGGTAAATAAGCCCGACTTAGGGTGTCGGCCAGATACATGGTGGAGCCCTTCTTGTAGCCAAGGCTGACGTTGTACAACTTAGCTCGCATGAGCATGCGCTGAAGCCTCTTCAGAGCTCGATGCAGTGGCTTCTTGAAAATAACTTCCAGAGGCTTGTGGTCTGATTCCACAAACACTTCTCTACCGTAAGTTCCAAACCGTAAACAACAGCCAAAGGCTCCTTCTCAATCTGGGCGTACCGAGACTCTGCATCAGTTAGCGTACGGCTCACTTAGGCAAGAGGCTGACCCTTCTGAAGTAGGATGGCACCCAGTCCTTTATCTGATGCATCGCACTGTAAGGTGAGGCTCTCTGTTGAGTCGAAAAATTTGAGGACTGGTGCTTTTGTGACCGGCAGCTTCACTTGTCGGACAGTACTGTCATGTATGTCAGTCCAGAAACATTCTACATCTGGTCAAGTGAGCTTACGGAGTGGCTCCAATGCATCACTTAGTCGAGGCAAGAACTTGCTCAGATAATTTGTGAATCCAATAAACCTTTGTACACTGGCCACGTCAGTTGGCGTGGGTATTTCCAACACCGCCTTAACTTTTGCGGGATCTGCTTGAAGACCCTTCTCTGATATCACATGACCCATAAATGGGACTTCTTTGCGTCGCAGATTCACCTTGTCTTGGTTCAACTTAATGTTCTGCTCCCGGCACCTCCGCATTAAGGAGTGGAAATTGTTGTCATGATCTGTCAGTGCTTCTTCCACTGTAGACCGCTCGCCAAAAATCAAGATATCATCATGAATGGTTAACACACCCGTCAAGCCGTCAAGTGCGTGGTTAAGCCTTCGTTGAAACTCCTCCGGGGCGGAACAAAGACCAAAGGGCAGGCGACGCCGGCAAAATCTTCCAAAGGGAGAATTGAATCTTGTTAAGCATGAACTGTCATCGTTAAGTTCAACGTGCCAAAAACCGTTCTTTGCGTCCACAGTGGAAAACACTTCAGCCCTGGTAAGCTCAGGTAGAATGTCTTCAACTGTCGGAGATGGGTAGTGGCTCCTCTTAAGAACTTTGTTGAGGTCCTTAGGGTCCAGGCAAACACGAATCTATCCATTAGGTTTTTGCACGATAACGAGGCTCGAAACCCAAGGGGTAGGCTCTATGACTTTTTCTATGATCCCGAGACTCTGCAACTGTTCCAACTCTCGTTTCAGCTTTCCCTTGAGCGCGACAGGTACTCGTCTAAGAGCATGGACCACTGGCTTAGCATTCTCTTCAATTTCCAGCTTATACTGCCCCTTCAGTTTTTCAGTGCCTTGAAACACATCTGGGTACTCCTTTAAGACTTCTTCCATCGAAAGGGGGCCCTGACTACCGCGCTGAACCTCAGTGTTGACGGTCATAACATTTTGGTGTTGATGACCAAATCCATCTGCTGCATCGTTGGATTTCCTGAAATCGGTGTTGACTGGTCATCGTCCACGACATCAAATTCGATCTAATACGTTTTGGAATTCTTGGGGTTAGATACTGCTACAGTGCACGTTCTAAGAGGTTTCATGATTGTGTTGTTATACATTGTGAGTAATTTCCGCGTGGGAAACAGTTCGGTTTTAGATCTAAGAAACTTTGCGGGAATCAAATTGTATGTTGCGCCACTATCCAGTTGAAACTTAACTGGTGTGTTTTCGACGTTAATTGTAGCAAACAATTTTTTAACATATTCCAGATCGCTTGCTACATGAACCCTAACTACTTGACTTTCTTCCACCGAGTGGAGCGTGAGGCAGTGTTCATCGAGCTCGCTTTCACTTTCTGATTCAACGACGTTCACTCTCGTTTTAGAAAGGCATTGAGTAGCGAAATAATTCATTCTTCCGCAAGCCGAACACCTTCTCCCGAACGCTGGGCAACTTTTCTTGGCAGCCCTATGTTTTCCACCACAGAATTTGCATCTTAGTACTTCTTTAGGACTGGAATCTCTCGCGTTCCGATCATCATTTTCGCGCCTTTTGTTTGCAGACTTGTCATGGCTTTTGTTAGCTGACACCTTGCCGCGCCTCGTTTGGTCCTTCAATGAGTTTACTGCTTCGCCCTCTTCAAAGTTTTGGTCCGTGTTTTCGACAACTCGGCTGCTCTACAAATGCTGAGGCATCTTTGTAAATCGAGATCTGGGATCTCAAGCAGTTCTTCTCGAAGTTGCCGGTCCTGGATTCCACAAATGATCTGGTCTCTCAGCAGCGAATCTTCAAGATCACCGAAGTTACAGGTCGTCGCTAACAGCTTCAAATCTGTAACGAACTTTTCTTGTGATTCACCCGGGTCCTGAGTGCGAGAGGAAAACTTGAACCTTTCAATAGTTTAATTTTTCTGGGATTACAATGCTCGTCGAACGCTTCTAACACCTGCGTGAAGGTTCTTTCTGACGGGGGAATTTCGAAGGCCATCGTGTCGTAAATTTCTCTTCCTTGACTACCGATTAAATACAGAAATAACTTTGCTTTCGTTGCTTCGTCTCTGCCGTTCATTGCCAGATCCATGTACAATTCTAATTCTTGCTTCCATCTTTTCCAACTGTCAGCCAAGTTTGTCGCATCGAAGTCTAACTGAGCGGGAGGTTTAAGCTGTGTAATCCTGTCAGTCGTTCCCACATTTGCACTTGCCTGTTGTCCGTCCGTCGGCGTTGTAGGTTTCTTTCGAACAGTTTCGGTCTATCCCGTACTCACTCCTGACACCATGTTTAGTTGCGAAGGAATCGTTTTAATATCTGCCATCAAGTGTTACATCAACTGGCTTGTTATTACAAAATGTCTGTCCTTTTAGTTAAACATTCAAACGAGGCTACTACTAAACAATGCCTATTGTTACAGCGGCCTTTCCCTACAACTAGACAATTCGGAAAGTAGCAAGTCTCAACGACAAAAATTTGTCTGTCAAATCGGCACTCTTAATCCACATGATACTAACCAACGCTTTTCATCCGACTAATTTATTCTTGTTTTTCACATTACCATATTCCTACCAATAGCGTATCAACTTTCTCTGTACAATCCACACACAACCCATAATTTCTCTATTCACTCTTACGATGGAGTAGCACTCGAAACGTCAGCCCTAGAAACTAGGTTATAACTACCAAAGCCTTTCTCCACAAGGGATTGAAGGACAATGCTTATTAGTAAACAATCTGCGTTAGTCTCACCTGGTGTATTGCTGTTTGTACGAGCACTCACTCCAGAATGAACAATCTGTCCGTGAAACCATCCTGGCCCATCTATATAACCGTTATTATGGTGTCTACCGGTGTCTCTTAACAGTTCGCAAACGCCCTCCGTCTCGGTTGAAGCTTTGAAATTAATAAATCGGCATCCCTCCTTCCTTAAGCAAAGGTGTGCGCATGATAAGAAGCTTGTAGTCCGCTGCTGTTGCATAGGGTGGCCTTTGAGAAGAACACCTTCTCTTATGGAAAAAAACGATTCGACAAGCTCAGATGAGGTACTTGATGCCATCAAAAAAAGGACAGTAAATGCGTAAAAAAGACGATTCTGTGAGGTGATCATGTCTTTAATTCCTGAAACTAAATCACACACAAATGTCACTTTCGAACATTCGATATTAACATTATTTGTTGATGAAAATAGTGACGAAAATTCTTCTTGAACAGCAAGCGTGTCTAGCGTGTCTCCGAGACTAAATTTAA